TTTGTCGTATTTTCTGAGTACGCACTGTTTTGCATTTGTTGCCAACTTATTTAGGATCTAGTAGAAGGCTAATCACGGATTGGTCTGAGTTAGTTCTCGGTACATTACGATGTGCATTAACAGTTTACAATTCTTCGAGTCCTTCTTTTCAGTACTCTTCCTCCGCTAAATAAAAAATGAGCTCAAAATGTGCACACGTTGAAATTGATTTGGGAAGAAAATGAATAATTTCAATTAATATTTAAACATATTTAAATTGTAATCGAGAGGCAAGTTGAATGGAAACCACCGTTCAACAAATATCTTTAAGAGCTGCATACTCTTAATAATTGTTTACTTGAGAAATATTCACGTTTATTAGGCTCAAGTTGGATGGCTGTTACACTCTCCGCTGCTTCCAATTTCCTTTAAGTTGAGCTATTTGTTTCAGTCCTGCTGCCACGCGTGTTATGTAGCACTATCAAGGCATCGTTATTTCTTTGAGGTTCAAATTATTCCCGTTCGCTGGCAGTAGGACCTGAGGTCATAGCAGAGTCGACCCGCGAAAAACTCCAAGGGTTTTCTTGGGTTAGATTACAAAAAAAAGTCGAAGTGGTTAAAGGTGGTGTAATAGCTATTTCACGTGAGTGAAAGTAATTATTAACCCCAAACCCTCCGATACATAGTAGTTCTTGGTAAAGTTCATGTTAACAAGGCAACTGTTGAAAGTATGATTGAAGAAAAAGTTTGCAGTCCTATCTAGACACTAACCCTCGTGATCTCCAGCATTGAATACAGATTATTTTCTCACCTCTGCTCGCGATCCGCCTTCCACCCCACACTTTTATCGATCGAGGCCCGTTTTGCAACCACTACAATAATATATTTCACCGTTCTGACTGTGCGATTCTGCAAATCACATACTGATTCATTGGAAGTATCAACCTTCATTAGCCGGTTTTTTTATATTTCCAAAGAAAACAGCTTTCAATTATGTTAGAAATTTAAGTTTTAAATATTTTTATACAGCAGTCAATAACGTTAATATATAAATAATCGGAAATCTTGAAGGAAACGCTAACTATGGTCACCATATCTCATTCACATGACGCAAAATATCTTAATTAAATATAGTACACGACTGCCACATACATGATCTTTTACGATGCCTATTGTTGTCGGGACAACGTACATTGATACACCGCCAAACTGGCAGGTGCCATTTCTAAGTGAATTCCCACCTCACGCGTCTTTCAGTTTTAGCCGCTATTTTGCCTCTGAACAGCCAAGCGTATTGGCACTGCGTCCGCCGCTCGGTCCTCCGAGCTGAAAAAAGCGTGGCTCAGACAATCTTTACCAATCGCCGAAAGCCGGCGGCGACGGCGGCCTCCCCTTGGAACGTGTTAAAGCCGACTGCATAACGTAGCCTTAGAAGCGGCCGCGGCCGCATGCCCTCCGCACGATCACCGCACAAATCACAACCAATGCGCTCGCCGAGCGTCGCGACGCGCCGACGCCACGGACGGCCAGGTGGCTGGTGGCGGCGGCGCGGCGCGGAGGGCGCCCTCGGGCGGTACTGCCACCTCGCGGCGGACTCGACGAACCGGGCGCCTTGGGTGGCCGTGGTGGGGCGGAGAGGATGGCTCGTAGGGGCGAGGGGGAGGGGAAGGCGAGGCGGAAGAAGATGCCTGTCGTTTGCGGGGGTGCGGGGTGACACAATGTGCGGCGGCAGCAGCGGAGAGTGCGGCGCGGACCGGCTGCGCGGGCGGGCGGCGCGTCGGACGCTGCGAGGAGGAAAGACGCGCGATGTACGGGAGCGCCTGTAACGAACAGACGCATCAATTAACGCGCCGTCCGCGCCGCCGGCGCGGCCTCCGCCGCCAGCGCCCCTGCCATCTGGCGCGGCCGCCGCCGGCCATGCCCGGCACTGCGCTCGCCGCGCGTCGCGTCTCGTCGCGCGGACTTCGATTCACCTGTCTGAAGCTGGCACTGTCGTGATTGGTTACCTCAAAAATAGATATGCCTCCACTTAGAACTATTTAATTGCTAATTAATTAAGCAAATATTAATTGTCTTGATCTCAAAATGCATACTTAATTAATGAGGTAGCTTAAGATTAAGCTGTCACCACCAGAATCAGTTACCACAAAAGCGAATATGCCATCTTGCAGAACTATTTATTTGCAAATCGTAATTTCGTAAAATAAATTTAATTGCTCTTCAAACATTCTAGTAAAGACGCTGTTTAGCTTTACTCTAAAAAATTAAGAAAAAAGTTCTGGAGTAATTAATTAGCAATTAAATGGTTATAAATGGTGGCACATTTGTTTTTGTAGTAACTGCTTATGATAGTGTGTGCTTAGCTCTCAATCGGTGCAGTGGCATGGGATTGTGTTGAAGTAAAAGGTACGGTCGGATCGGATCAGGCCTAACCTCATTGAGATTTTTTTCTTTGGAATATGTACACAGTACACATTTTCAATTGAAATAATTTCTTATTTATTTAATAACATCAGGATTGTCATTTACACGGAATATTGTGAACACAGATATTTACTTTTTGAAGTTATCTTGTAAGACTAAAAATAGTATGCACTTGATTACATAAAAACAACTTACAATAAAAAATAAAAACTTCAGATGGATACTTAGAATTTATAAAAAGCATCAAATATAATGTATAATTTTAGCTCAATAAACAAACAAAAAAAAAACAAAAAATAAAAACAAAATAAAAACAAAAAAAATGATAGCGTAGAAATTCGCGTGCACGCAGTCGCTATCCGCCCGCGCCATCAAGTCGCTGCGTCGCGTTCCGTTGCGTAGAAGGACGTGTGGGCGGTCAGCGCCTGCAGAATGCGGGCATTTCAGGGGCTTGATGAACATGATTGAGACGCGTTATCGTGGCAATTAAGGAGACGGACGCGAACATTTATTTTTATTTCTGAGGGATTTTGACGCGCAAGTCACGAAATGAGTTTGCGTCCTGCTGGGAAGTCTTAGGTGATACGAATGATGTCTTTGGAAAATATCGGTACGAAATATCTTTAAGGTAATGTTATAAGCACGTGATATGAAATTAGTATTTTATTCTTGTTTTTGATTACTTTTGTGGTTGGCAAACGTTTAAATTATTACGTAGATCATCAAATATCATCGCATTAATGGAAATAGAATTCAAGGGAGTATTGCGTATTTCCAAACCCGCAATAATATTTCCTTGTCTTGTCATTTTACGCCATGTACCCTAATGTGATTTATTAGCTTGAAAACGCTGACATTCTACGTATGCACGATGTAAATGATGTCATTGACTCAGATGACCTTTCATAATTTTTACACTGTTATTTTCTTATACCAGAGTTTTCGGTGATGATAACAACATACACGTTATTAATTAGCACTTACATTTATGTAATTTGTTTTTCTATATGCGCCTTCATTTATTGGGAACCATAAGAAGAAGAAACTGTTGATTTTCAGATGGCTATGTGCTTGTAGTGTAGATGACAAATATCTTCCAGTATACAAATACCTTATACAAATCAATATCTGTCTCAGATTTTATTCCTTATTATTTTTTTTTAAATCTTAGAATAATTTAAAGAAAGTTTTTGTTCACCTTTTGACGCGCATCTTCTACTCACTTTTTATCGTCATTCGGTTGTTTTGCTGAAATCCCGAAGGTGCCCGCCAAACAAGGACGTCCGCTGGCCGCAGCAATTACTTTACTTGGACGGTGTCTTATGGTTATTTCGTATTGTGAGGCGTTCGTAATGAATCACTTGGTATTGCGGCGCGTTCGGTGGGAATTCCCAGCAACAGAGTCCACATTTACGATTACTTACTACGTTTTTTGTTTCCATTTCCAATCACGGCCTAGCTATTACTGATGAAATCGGCGGTTGTTTCGATGCTATTTATTCTGTTCGCCGGACGCGACTCATCCGGCGGGTTCCGCTTGGTCTGCGCTTGCGCACGCCGCCACTAGGTGCGCGCGATCCGGGCTTCTCCTCGTCTCTGGATTCCGAGCCCGCTCGTCCTTTTGTTGCGAAGCAATCTCGTCGGGGACGCGCAATAACTATCTTAAAATGTAGGAAAAAGGACTGTCTAAGGAAATATCGAAAGACACTTCATGCTCTCTTATTTTCTCCATTTTGTGTTGGTTATTTTGTATGTATTGCGCGGGTGCGGATCCACGGGGAGGGAAATTAGGGAATTTTCCTCTACCAACATTTTTCGGTCACTATTAATTTTAACTCGTCACGAAACATTCACGCGAAAAAAATTCGCATACATTAAACTGTATTGCAGCATGAGCTTAGCTTAGCCTGCGTTATTCTACATAATGTGTAATATGACAGATTCGTGGAAAACATTTTGAATAAAAAACTTTTTACCACCCAAAATTCGTTTCTGGATCCGCCCCTGTACCGTATGTGATTATAACTTACAGTGATTTAATCAGAATAACGTTTTAAAAAAATATTCTATTTAGCCCCCTCTTAGTTGCATTTGATCAAATTGTTAAAACGGGAGGACAAAGAAAATTGTTTCAGAGACAAACTACGAGAATGTTACTTACAAATTGACTGAAGGGTTTGGGGCAGTAATTAGATAGGTCGCACCAATCGCAGCGCGTCTCCTGTTATTAATAAATATCAATATCGTTGAGGCGTGCCTTATATGGTTACTGTTTCAAGTCATTCATAAATATGAACAAGACATATACAGTGAGAATATATGCCATACTTTCACCAAAATCGACATATTAGCATGTAAAAATAGCAAGAGCCTTGAAGTGGTTAGTGTTGCTTATGTTGTTACAGTCCCAAACACTTGAATTGCAAGATAGAATCGTTTCAGCATAATCATTAATGCACATCTTTCAGCACATCTTTAATCGTTTCAGAACATCTTTAATGTAGATTTTACTTTGATACAATTGCGGAATGAAGTTGATAACACATTTTGGTGGAGAATGAGTTTCTTGCATCATTATACATTAAAATCGACGATAACATGTTCTTCTAAACTGTCATTAAGTGGCAGAGATTCACAGATAAGAAAACAACCTTATGCCCGTGGCACAATAACATATTCTCATCTTTCAGTAAGATGAGACTGGTGCATCACACATCTCGCTATATCTCTCACAAACAACTCAAACCGATCTCGTGGTGTGTCTGACACCAACATTGCGACTTTGAGGTCATCGACTGCGCGCCAACCGTCTGTCTTCTCTCTTTCCGCCTCAACGCCCATCGGCCATCAGCAAAACGAACCCCAGCCTGGCTTCCCTACTCCCGGGTCGCTCGTATGGAGAAGATGATGATAATTACTTTTCCTCGAAGGAGGATGTGGATACTGTGACGTAGGCATCGGCGAAAGGACCGTTAAGTGCCGGTTTGAGGCGTGCGCCATGCGCCGTTGCGAGACGCACGATCAGGCGCCGGGCGTCGAACCGGAACTCAAACGAAAAGACGCGTTGTTGTGGTTTTGTTGTTGTTGTTTAGTTAACTCTTTCTTGGCAAGCGTTAGGGTCCTTTCATTTGGTCTGGCAAACGCAGCTGGTCGTGTCAGATAGGAGACAGGAGAGATAAGTAATTAATTTTATACCGCCGTTCAGTTTAAGACGTTTCGCAATTTATGACAAGTATTTACGATTAAAATTGTCTGTATCGTGGTGCTAATGCCGTTGGTAATTCTGATTCTTCTATCTGGTAATTCTATTTTGAATGCACTGAAACAAATCAGTTCGCCACAATCTCTGTAGCTGAGTAAATTATTGATACTATTTTTACCTTCTTCACTTGCTGTACAACGTTGAATGGCAATTAGTCAATGCTATGAAATGAATATTTTTATTATTATTATTATTATTATTATTATTATTATTATTATTATTATTATTATTATTATTATTGTTGTTGTTGTTGTTAAAATTAATACTATTATAAAATTTAAAAAAATGCATTTTCATGACCACGCTGAAGTTCTTTCTCGTCCCGATTCTTTGTAACGTTGATTAGGGATTGATGTGGTAGTCATA